TAATGACTCGTCTGTGCAGTGCATGATGGGAGGGAGAGCAGCGTCTGCGTTTTTTGCTGTAATTAGAATCGGACCGTTGCAGAGATAATTGATGCATAGCGGATGCAGCTGCCGTGATGTCACCCGATGTGAGGAGAGCATCCCTCGGCTTGCACCTTGAAGGATTTGGCTCATCGGCAGAGGAGAGGGCAGCGGTCCAGCTCCCTCCGGTCAGTGTGTATTCATCTTATTTCAGGCCCGAGCACATTGGCTGAAGCCACCCAGCTCTACTAAAGGCAGGCTAGAGATTTTAAAGGGTCAGTCCGCTCACAACTGATGGGTCAGTCTCGGGGTTGGCTGCCGGCAGGTGGCGTTGAGCACAAGTGTCTCTGCGGCTCTGATCTGTCAGCTATGTCCACCTGCCGTGGCCACAGCTAACCTGTTCCAGCGTCGCTGGTTCCCTGGCTGTCACGCTGACCTGTCTTTAGGGCCCGTTCACGCCACATCCAGACCTGATTGTTCCCTTACCCAAAATGCATCCTAATGTATCCCTATGCTATTTCTGGCCTCCGTTCACACCAGCGCATTCCTATTTTGTCTGGTCTGGAATGCACTGGAACTGCGGCAAGTTCACTCTATATCTTCTGTACCAGATCTGGTCTGGAAAATTGGTGTGAACTTGCCCTCAGTGCTTGGCAAGGCCGGGAGCCGGCTGAATTGACATGCCTGGCTTGCCGCCTTGTGTATCCGTGTCTTGCAAAAAGGTGAAGCAGGAGGATCAGCATGATTGCAATGGAAGCCAGCTGCTGCAGAAGAGAAGCTTGTAGGCTTTGCTTTTTCACATCATACCCCCTTTTTGGGTTTTTTCTAGTGTCATCACTCTCTGTGCTTCTCTATGCAATGCAGGCAGATGGCTGGTGGGAGGGGCTAGCAGGGTGCTGTACATTGCGCCCTGTCTCGGTACTCCTCAAGAGCCCTCAGTCCTGATGGAAGTAGTGGGCTGGCTCTTGGGGAGGAGTTGTGCAAATATCAGAATGCCTTGATGGGTGGCTGACGGTCTGGAGGAGTGGACAACATCTGAATACTATCTTTCTTGATTGAAAGAACTGACATCCAATGAATGAAGGGGGCGGGCCAGGGACAGTCAGGCTGGGGAGGAAAGAATAGATGATGCTGGATGACTGGCTGCAGTTTCTAATGCACATTATGAGAAGCTCACAGTGTGCAGTGATATCAGAGGAAACCATTTCAGTCCTGGAGAGGAGCCGGTACAACTGTGCAATCCTAAAGGGAAGGTCGGAGTTCAGCTTTAACAGGAAGTGAGACTCTAACCCTTCGTGACTGTTGGATCCTGAAGCTTCTTCTACATATTTTCTTTTAGTAACATTGGTGGATGAACATGTAATCAATCCTCAGGATGTTATTGCGACAGCCGCCATGGCTTAAAGTGTTTGTGGGCGGATCTGTTGCTACATGTCGTCCTGTCTCTCGGAGGCCTCGTTTAGCCTACGGTGGCTGTCTTAGTCCAAAACCATCATAAGCTGCTGGCCTAGTGCAGCATTAATGGTTTCCTCTTCTGTTAAGCTGCAGACACATTTATATTAGTGTGGGGAGGGTTTTATGGCTGGCTCGTACATCAACTTTCGGGTGTCAGTTTGATTTCTGAAACTTTATCTCCGGCAGCAACATGTAACACAATATAAACCGCGCGCAACGCCTGTATCACTTTATAAACTGCATTCATTGGCTTCAATAAAGCAGGAAAACTGCTCGCACGTGGAGTAATATGTCCAGATATCATTCTTAAAACTGCTCGTTGTTAATGGAGTCGCTCCTCCTTCTGTAGCCCAACCGCAGTTTGCATGAGCATCAATTTAATTGTAGAGAAGAGTCATGCCAGGTAAGGATTATGCCAGTTCCAAGGATGGCCCTAGAGATTATCTCATGGGGTGGACAAATTATGATGGAATTTAGGAGCTAATCGGTCCAATCAAGAGCCGGCAGGATTTTCTTTTTTAGGTGCCCGCTCCATTATCAACATTTTGAGAGCCTTAAAAGTTGGGCGCCAGCTTAAAATTTTTAGGAAGCATTGGCGGCCTGGCTCCTGGGACTTGTCCAGCTCTGTTGTAACATCACTTTTTTTTCTTTTCTACACCCTTGTGTTGTATTGTTTGGGTGGAACTGTAGGAAGCACTGAGGTTTTTGGACCCTGTTGGCTTGCTTTTGCAGGATCCATCACTCTGTGGGATGTGGTCGGAGCTTTTGTTCTGCTATGTGAGCTTCTGACGTGAATGCTGCTAGTAATATATAAGTAGTTTGGCCTAAGCAGCAACAGTTTTTTGTAGTGTAAGGCCCAGCTTGTTTACCAGCCTTCATCCGTGATGAAGAGGGAACTTGTCTACCCCACCCTTTCAACATTTGTTTTGTGTATTTTATACATCTCCTTTGTACAATACATTAAATGTGGACCCAAGTGTTGCTTTGGCACCTTCCTTTCCACCTTTTTAGATGTTTTGACTTGTGGTGGCCCATCAAGGCACAAGAGCAGGAGATCTTTGACTGTCTTTCACCTTCACCAAACCTTTCAAGATCCTACACCACCTTGCTGACTTCTTGGTTTCCATAAGCTGACTTTAACTCCCGTAGCCATATCAATCCCAAATAATATCTCACTCCCCCGATAGATTCTGTTATATTGAGTAAGCGGGCAACTAGAGAATCCAGCTGTGAGAGGTTGACTCTTTTTGTTACAGCTTTGTGAGTGAGGACAAAGACTCAGTACACCATGAGTAACTTGCCATTATAGTCTTTGTTTCTATAGAAGTACCCAGCGGTGTGTCTCCTAACCCCCCCCCCAACCAACACATTGTAGGCAGTGTTGGCCTGGTATAGGAGCAGTGTGGACACCAGGGATAGGCAGTGTTTGGCCCGGTATAGGAGCAGTGTGTACACCAGGGATAGGCAATGTTGGCCTGGTATAAAAGCAGTGTGGACACCAAGGGTGGGCAAACTCCATCCTTCAACTATGGCACAACTACATATTCCACTAGTCTTACCACAGCTGGAAGTCCGGAGTTTGCCTACCCTGCGTGTACACCAAGCTTTTACAAAGCATTCGCCAAGCTGGCAGCTACCTTCAAGCTACTGTCCTGAAGCCGTTGGGTAAACTCCGACCCTCCAACTGAGGTGCGACATCTAATCCCAATCGCTATTACAAGACTCTTACAGGCATGACTCCCAGAGACAGATGCATGATGGAATTTGTAGTTTCACCACAGCTGGAGGGCTGGAGTTTGCCAACCCCTGCTCCTAAAGCATCCTTCAGCTCCAGCCTTCAATGTTAAACAAAGATGAAAGTGTATGTGCTCACTTTAAACCAGCTTCTTCCCAGCTTCAGCGCTACTTAAAACTTGTTAACCTGAAAGCTGTTTGCTTAAAGCTGTGCTGGACAAATCCCAGGAGCCAGGTCTCCAATGCTCCTTTAAATTTACAGCTGGCGCCTAACATTTGAGGTTTTCTTTTAGTTGTCAATGGAACCTGGCTCCTGGATTGGACAGACTGGCTCCTGAAGTCCATATTCATTTTTCCACCCCTGCTTTAAAGTGACAGTCGGTCCTTGTGTTATCATTTTGTGTTGAATATCTTCAAATTAAAGTTGAAGGTTGCTTTAAAAGCTTCAGTCACAAGTGTCGTTGTTGTCTGTAATCACAAACCTCACTTCCTGTCCTGGACAGGTTGTCACTGGGACAGGAAGGAAGTAAGGTCTGCAGAAACCTAAAGTTCACAAACTGTCCTTAAAGTTGACAACTGTCCCTTCCTGTCCAACCTAAACCTCACGCTTGTGTAAAGTTATAGAACGATGGCTGATTTACTACAGGTGCACCGAAATGAAAGTCAGGCCGAAACCGAAAAATGTGTGTGGTGTTTTTGTTTTATGTTTTGCTCTAACTTTTTTTCAAATTTTTTTTACATTTTATTTTTTTATAATCTTTAAAAAATGTTTTAAATAATCATTTTACTTTTAGGGGCTTTGGGGAAATTTTGGGTGTCCCAACAGACCCCTGATATTTCCCTTTTTTAAAATAGAAAAAGAGATGTAGTCCTCATTCTTTTTCTGCAGCCCCATCCTGCAGAATCCTCTATACTGAGTGTTCCTGTTCATTCATAACATGAGGACAGAGTGTGTCTACTATAACCACAATCATGAGAACAGGAAGTGATGTAGATCACTTCCCATTCATAATTGAGGATACAGTAACCATACTCAATTATTTACAAACACTCGACTGCTGATCACTGACTGCTTGTACCCGCTCTCCATCCTGACAGGAGGCTGAGCGAGCGGTGCGAGGAGAGCTCAGCCTCCTGTGACAGCGCTGGCTGTCTCCGCCCACACACCGCTCTCCTAATCTGTGACAGGAGGCTAAGCGGTGTGGGAGGAGAGACGCCGGCTGCTCACAGCGCTCTCCTCCCGCAGCGCTCAGCCTCGTGTGACCATTTCTCTCTTCCCTGCTGGGACACAGAACAGCGCCCAGCGGGGAGGAGAGAACAGGATGCACCACTATATTGGCAAGAAAATTGCACTTTCGCCATTTTGCCAAAAGTGCAATTTTCGGCCGATATACTGGTGCATCCCTACTGATTACTTCATCAATAAGAACTGGATAGTCTGTTTTGCTTTTGGGAGGAAGGTTCTGAACTGTGAGCCGCTGCCAATCATTCCCATACTGCGTACTACGTCGGTAGCCCTGATTTGATGGCGTCAGCGCTTTCTTAACTGAACCTAAAAGTGGGCATTGGGAGGGCCAATGGGTGAATCTGTCTTCTCAACAGGGAGTGATGGGATCCCACTGTGTGGAAGTGAAGTCTCAAACCATTTGAGAAGGCTTGTGGAGCAGGGGTGGACAACTTCATATGGAATTTGGGAGCCAGTCAGTCCAATCCAGGGTAGACAACGTTGTATGGAACTCAGGAGGCCGTCAGTCCAATCCAGGGTGGACCACTTCATATGGCATTCAGGAGGCCGTCAGTCCAATCCAGGGTAGACAACTTCATATGGAATTCAGGAGGCCGTCAGTCCAATCCAGGGTGGACCACTTCATATGGCATTCAGGAGGCCGTCAGTCCAATCCAGGGTGGACCACTTCAAATGGTATTCAGCAGGCCGTCAGTCCAATCCAGGGTGGACCACTTCATATGGTATTCGGGAGGCCGTCAGTCCAATCCAGGGTGGACCACTTCAAATGGTATTCAGCAGGCCGTCAGTCCAATCCAGGGTGGACCACTTCATATGGTATTCGGGAGGCCGTCAGTCCAATTCAGAGCCAGCAGTTTATTTTAAGAGTTGGCACCGTTGACACCTCAAACGTTAGGTGCCAGCTAGAGTTTTTAGGGAGTGTTGGCTACCTGGTTCCTGGAATCTGTCCAGCCCTCGTGTAGAGGAATACCTACAAACTAGAGACCATGCCGGCTCAGGAGAGCAATTTATAAAATATTTCTGCCTGCAGATGAGCTTCAACCCACAAACGTTCCATTTTTTAAATCTAAACTTCCAAATTAAATACATTTGTATATCTGATGTGAGCTGACTGGAAGTATTGGTATGCAGGGGATGCTTCACTTCAATCAGTGGCGCCACCCCAGGTGTGTGATGCCTTGGTGCTCTAGCAGCGTGAAGTCAAGGTTGAAGGACCATTAGTCTAATGGCGGAGAGAACACTGCTTTGTCCTCGGGAAGATAAGAATGTGTTGTGAAGATGAAATAGCTCACTGTTCTCTTCTGATCTAATGAAGATTGATGATTCTTGTCCCATGGAACTGCCAGACACTTCCCACAGAAAAATAGCTGAAAACCTGTTTGTCAAATGTTTTGGTGACTGAATCACTTCATGTCATGTTTCCATAGAACGCTTATTGAGCAATATCTTCTGATGGCTCATTGCGTCTCCTGAACCTGTTCCTTCATCGGAAACTAAGGGGGCATACTTTTTGATCCTTCTGCTGCTTTGGCTGTTGGGAGATACTGAGAGTTGTAGTTCCTCAGCAGCCAATCAGCTAAACTGTATCTTAAGCCAGGACTACCTTTCTTTAGTTTTGGATAGATTAGGGGCAGACCATCTTTTTTACCATGGGAGGAACCCTTAAAAGTTCTTCAGGTCTCAAAGAACCATCACTAAACTCTACAACAGGAGTAGGCAAATTCTGACCCTCCAGCTGTGGTGAGACTTCAAATCCCATCATGCATCTTCCCCTGGGAGACATGCCTGTTGCTGTCAGTCTGGCAATGGCTCAAGGAACCCCTAGCAACCTTTTTTAAAGCAGTGGTTCTCAACCTGTGTAACCTCAGGACCTAATATTTGTCCTTGGTCATTAAGTCACGACCCGAGTCGCACTGCAATGGAACACATGGCATTGCGGTACCGCATGTTCTGGTGCGGGTGATTGAACTGTGGGCGGGAGGTGAGTTTGGGGTGTCATTCAAATTGGTGGCAACACAACACGCCTTCCACACCAGGACTCGCAGTAGGTGTGATCGCCTGGTACAGTGCATTAAATCGCATAGGACTGTGCAATTAATGCACTGTACTAGTGTGAACAGACCCTCAAAAACACTGACACACATTCTCACGCGCACACACACACTCCCAAAAATATATATATTTTTTTAAAGATCTCCCTCCCCTGCTGTGGTGTAAAAAAACATTGTATAAAGAGATGAGCTGTGAGTATTTTACTTCAATTTTGGTTTGCTTTGTGGATTTCTTCCAGATCTGTGCAGTACCTTGGAGCTTCCTGTAATAAAGACCGGTCATTGCTGCGCTCTCCTTGTCTACACCCCCTCCTGTAATGAAGACCTCTCACCCTGCTCTCTCTCCTTGTGCAGGGTAACTGGTCTTCTCTCCGCCCCCTCCCACAGTTCTGCTCTCTGCACAGACTGTACAGGACAGTGATGATGTCACATCAGTTATCAGTTAATAACAAATGACATGGCTGTAATGTGCAAAGCAACTAAATTACTATGTTTTTGTTGCATTGTTTTTGTTGCATTCTTTTGTTTTATGTATTTTGTGTGGGGTTTTTCTTCTTGGTACTATTATGTTAATGCAAACTGATGATAAATGTAAACAATTACATTAAATTTAGTATTATACTGTCAATATTTTTATCAATAATGAATCCAGCTCAAACAAATCTACATCACCCAGCAAAGCATTGCTTTACATTTTTGCCCAAGAACTTAGTCATGTTTCCGAACAGCTCCAACTCTCTCAGCACGGCTTCCCTGAACTTCCTGTCCAGTATAAGATCACAAGGGACAGAGCAGTCAGTGGCAGCCGTCAATCTCCTAGCTTAGAGAAGGATGGTTGGAGGAGGGAAGCCGGGGGAAAGGGAAGTGTCTTGCTCTGTTGGTGAAGATGCTCACAGCTTATAAGCACACACAATGGTGGCTCCGTAGGACCCTGCAAGGGAAAGGAGTCACCCTAAAACAGGATATGAGGCACAGTGCTCGGGGGACCAGCTGATTCTGCAGGAAACATCATGGAGCAGCATCCATTGTAAGTGATTTTTAATCCGCATTTGAAATATATTAACACTTTGACTTTAATATCACTTTTAACACGTTGAGGGCAGGTTCACACCATTTTTCGCACCAGATCTGGTCCAGAAAATGGTGTGAACCTGCCGTTGTTCCAGTGCATTCCTGACCAGACAAAAATGAGACAAGCAGTATTTTTCTGGTCTGGAACGGACTGCGCTGGTGTGAACAGAGGCCAGAAATAGCATAGCGATACATTAGGATGCATTTTGGGTCTGGAAACGGTCTGGTCTGGAGATGATCCGCACATGGTGTGAATGGGCCCTGATGCTTCCGTGAGGGTTTTAGTGATCGGGTTTACGTATTCCAAATATGTTTCCTGCTGTATAAATTCTCCAATCTAACTGTTGCCGTCTTTTTCCCCCCTACAGACCGTGGAACATGGCTTCCCCAACCAGCCGAGCTCGCTTGCCTTTGACCCTGTACTGCGGATCATGGCGATCGGTGCCAAATCTGGAGCCGTTAAAATGTATCCTTTTTGGTGGTAGAAAATAAAAATAGACAGATTTTGGGAGCGCGGTGGACGGAGCGTTTACTGCGATCATTTAAATAGTTTGACATCCCCTGCTAATCTCTCATCTACTCTGGCAGCGCTATTGTTTATGTCGGCCTCACTGTGGTTGCCGTCAGCTGCGGTTGATCTTCGGTTTCACAGGTAATTGCATTCAGTAACACCTCACCAGGGGGAGGGCGTGGAGCGCCGGCTGATCCCTGATTCTTCCCAGAGGATAGAAGAGTTTCGAGTAGAGCCGGTCTCTCCCTCTCTCCCTCTTCACGTACGGGAAATGTTTTATTTGTTCAGCCTTTTCACTTCATTAATAAAGTTGTATGGACCGGGGGGATCGGGTTACTTGTTTGTTGGACAGATTTGCTGTATTGAATGCGGATTTCCTAATGCACTGTTCAAAGCAAATTCTTCTTATTGTGCTTGACAAGGTCCCCCTTTTCCTCCCCTACCCCTCCCATTGCTGTACCTGGGGGAATAGGTCTTGCTTGGTAGAGCAACATTGTGTATTAGAAAGAACTATCTTGTTTATAATTTTGAGGGTACCCCACCATCCCTGCACTGAGTTCCTGGGTCTGTACACCCGCTGTGCCCAATATGAGGGGTTCCCACCATCCCGTGCTGAGTTCCCGGGTCTGTATACCTGCTGTGCCCATTGAGGGGCTCCCACCATCCTGTGCTGGGTTCCCGGGTCTGTATACCTGCTGTGCCCAATATGAGGGGTTCCCACCATCCCTGTGCTGAGTTCCCGGGTCTGTACACCTGCTGTGCCCAATATGAGGGTCCCCCACCATCCATGCACTGAGTTCCCGGGTCTGTACGCCCGCTGTGCCCAATATGAGGGGTTCCCACCATCCCGTGCTGAGTTCCCGGGTCTGTATACCTGCTGTGCCCATTATGAGGGGCTCAGTTTTTCGGGTCTGTACACCTGCTGTACCCATTATGAGGAACTCCCACCATCCCTGTGCTCTGTTTCTGGTTCTGTACACCTGCTGTGCCCATTATGAGGGGTTCCCAGATAGACTTATTATATGTTCTGTAGAATGTAACAGGTGGAGCTGGAACACCCAAGGGTGGGTGGAAACTCCTAAAACTCCCAGGTGGACAGGAACACTTATTAGGAATGATATTGGGGAAGATCCCATTTTTGGCTTATCCAAGACACAGCCAGGTCAGCCTCTGGCCTCTATCAATGTTCCACCCATGGTGAACCTTTTCAATGTAACTTTGGGAGTTTTGATGTGCACTTAATACATTGTTGGTGCTGAAATCACTTAAATGATTCTCTGCCTTGAACAGTCACATGCATGTGCAATAATGGGGTCTACGTCATGGCTGTCAATGATTTGGGAACCAGTCAGAGGATCCCGATCATGTGATCACTAGGTCAGTTCTGACATGACCACATGCAGGCTGGAGGTTTCATTGATTTAAAAACTAAAAACAGATAAACACTGCCACCTTCAGGCCGCACTGGTCATTTTGCCATGTGCTTAATATTGTGATTGTCGGATACAGTTGCATTGTTAAAATATTGAAAAAAATATATATTTTATGCAAAATATAAAGTTATTTGAATATGCAAATTAGTTGTAGTGTTGCAAATGCTAAGTCTGCCTAAATTGCCCTGAGACATTTTATTAATAACCTCTGTGCGTTAAAGGGTCGGTCCGCCTAAACATATTTTATGTTTCCAGTTATTCGTTTAAAGTTTATCTGAATGTATTACAATTGTGAATGTTGTTTTTGTTCCTTGCAGGAGCATCTTGTTGGTTTAGCGCCTTTTGTAGGCTGATGGATCTTGCCGGAGGGGGTGAGAATATTTGTTGGTGTTTCTCAGCAACGTTCCCCTGAATAGCTCCTCTCTGTCCCAGCACAAAGGGATGGAGTGTGGCTGCCCTCTCTGTTGTCCAGCTGAGCGCTTCGAGTGCCGGTTGCCATGGCGATGCCGGTCAGGGTCTCCGGAGAATTTTTTTTTGCAGCCTGGGATCTGCCTAGGACAGCATCTGTATACCTGCGGCTTCCTTCACTTTGCATTAGATTAAGGGCTTGCAAATTGGTCGCTCCAGCTGTTCTGGATCTACAAGTCCCGTGAGGCATTGCAAGACTCGGGCAACCACAGGCATGATGGGATTTGTCATTTCAGCAAAGCTGGTGTGCCAGCTTTGCCTACCCCTGGTCTAGCGTTGTGACAGCATCTGACTTGCCTATATGCAGTCACACTGCCTTCATAAATATGTTACTATCTCTGCCATGTAGAAATATTTTGTATAGGCAGGAGTTCTCCTTTAAGGAGTTGGCATCGTGTGACGGTATCTATAATGGATGTTTGTACACCTCGGGGGGGCCCCGTGCATTGCAAGTAACTGTTTTTTATGTCTGTTTTCCTGAGGGAGGTTTAACACCTTCCGATAGACTCTCCGCAATCTGTTCTCACAGCTAATCCCTCCTCTGAGACGGAGCAGCGCCGAGGACCGCGGCCGGGGATTAGCAGATAGACGGCGGGGGTATTAAAGGGAAATAGGACATTAATTAGTTAATTAAGGGGCTTCTGTTGTGCATTAAGATGATATATCCCCAGGGGAATTAACATGCACTTTGGAGCAAGCAATCTGCTGCAGACAAGTGGGGGGAGGAGTAAGATGGGTCCTACCTTTTTATACAGTAGGGGGGTAGGTGATATGTGCATGCACTGGTTTCTACTGCAGCTTATTCATGGTACCGACCCGTTTCCTATTATAAGTTGGGCGGTAAAGGACCCAATTTTTAATTTTTGGTGGGTAATTAGGAGCCGGGCACCGACCCCAGGAGCCGGGCACCGCAGGACCTCGTCCAATGCCCCAAACTGCTAGAACAGGGGTGAGCAAACTCCAGCCGTTGTGAAACTTCCAATCCCATCATGCATCTGTCTCTGGGAGTCATGCCTGTGGCTGTCATTCTTGTGGGATGTCTCATGGGACTTGTAATTGCACCACAGCTGGAGGGCCATTGTTTGCTAGAGAATCCAGCAAAAAGCAGATCAAGCTTTATTTAATAAAGACAGACGACATGGAGTCCTCGCCTGGGACCTCCTCCTCTTCCTCCTCATTGGTTTCACCCACAAGGCTGGGCTGAATCCTGGAATGAGTCACATGCTCTTTTTTTTTTTTTTTTTATACCAGGAAGTATTGGGTAGTTTTTGTTCCTTCACTGCTCCGCTTGTTATCGGGAGCAAAGCAAAATCTCCACTTTTTTGGGTGATTTTTGAGTTTGTGCTCAATACACCTCATCTGAACTATGAAAAATAAAATGTATCTCCCATAATGCCATGGTGCGGTTCGGGGTCTTCCGTGTTCTCATGTAACCTCTGCTGACGGAAGGTGTGGTGGTTTTTTTTTTTTTTTTTTTTTTATAATGGCCGTATGGGGGTGAAGGAAGGGTTTTTGTGTTGGGGTGAACTGTTGCTCTTTGCGTATTGGTTGCTCTTCTCTGGTAAGGAAAGGAGATTAATGTGGTGTGTACAAAAGTTTCCACCATATGTTAAAACTTATGTTCTGCCTTTTTGTATTGGATCAGACCTCCTGTGTAAGAGTTCTCTCTGACAATGGAGGATTGTGTCTGTGCAGCTGTACTGGTCACAGTGTCAGCCTATGATTGCACGGACGGCACTGTCTTGGCTTATATGTTCTGCTGACTTTCAGAGTTGTAGAATAAGGCGGCTTTCTGGTCCCTGTGAAATGAGGCCATTTAAAGAGACACTGTCAATTTTTCACATTGAGGGCAAAGTTGCCGTTGACTGCCCATGCGGGACCAAGTGCGCGGTGACTGCCCATGCGGGACCAGAGTTGTAGAATAAGGTGGCTTTCTGGTCCCTATGGAATGAGGCCATTTAAAGAGACCCTGTCAATTTTTCACATTTGAGGGCAAAGTTGACGGTGACCGCCCATGCGGGACCAAGTGCGCTGTGACTGCCCATGCAGAACCAAGTGCGCGGTAACTGCCCATGCAGGCAAGTAAACAAATAGATAAAGGGTAGGGGTTTTAAGGTGCCTATACAAGTTTTTTCGTAAAGCAATAACATTGCTACATATTCAAAAGAATGATATACAACTATATAAATGGAACAACCATAAAACCATTGTGAGTAGATTTATTTGCAATCCTCTCCTATCCTGAATCTGCTGTCACCGTCCCTTTTTGTCCTGCAATAGTTCATGTAAAGGCAGGTGTCCCAAAACTGTGTGTATCTCAATCACACACAAACGCACACTACATTCTATAATTATATATAACGCACCTTCCATCCCCTTGGTATGTGATCGTTTTGAAAGAGGAACTTAAATATTCCCATGATGCAATCGGAGGTGTGTGTGTTACATATAAAGTACGTACATCTTCAATTGAGCCGGAATGTTCCTGGTAGTTGACTTAGGTCTCGTTCACACCTAGGCGTATTGCATATGCGCCTCTGTCACGCGTTTTTTTAACCGCGATTCGCGGTAAAAAAAGTTGCGTGTTTCCGAAGGCTACTTGGCTGTATCCCAATGGAAACACGCAACAAAACGGCCCAAAGTAGTACCTGTACCTTTTCAGGCGTGGGCCGTTTTGTAGCGCGTTAGGGACGGGCGGAAATACGCCAAGGTGGGAACGAGACCATTGAATACAATGGGATTTATATTTTTGAGCGTTTTGTAGAGCGTTCGTCGAGCGTAGAACGCGCTACAAAACGTTCAGGTGTGAACGAGGGCTTAAAGGTGGTTGTTGTTGTTTTCTTTTTTGTTCTCAATAATGTGAGATCTGACCTAAGGACCTCTATCTTATTTATTATTGTCTCGGAGATAAAACAGGAAATTAGGCAATCTCTAGAAAGCAAGAGAATATCCCCCACATGGACAGTTGTCACCTGACCTGGTGTCCTCATTGCAGGGGTGCAGAATTCCTGACACCCAGAAAATCTGTGTGTGGTGGTTTTGTTTTGTTTTTTTCCTCTGGCCTCCTGCTCTTCTGGGGTGCCTGGGACCATGGCAATGATTTCGGGTTGGAGAGGGGAGCAGAGCGGAGAACGTCTGTTCTCCGATCTGCTCTGTGTGATCGGTGACGCAGGAACGCCGCACTCGCAGCACATCCTGTCTTCGCTCTCAAACGCCAGGCTGCGCAGAAGATGGAGCACTGCTTCTGTATTGGAGGGCAGGTTCCATAAAGGGAACCTGCCCCCTTCAAGCGCTATCACATAGGGACTTGTTAACTTTATTGCCATCACACAGGGGCTAAGTGGGGGGAACAAGTTTTTTTGTTTTTTTTCCTAATTTTTTTTTTTTTTCTTTTTTTTCACACCTGCCTAAATCTTTTGCACAGTACTGTGTTG